GCGTGTCTTATCTCGCGGGCGTTTCCGCGGTAGGAAAAGCCTTCCGAGAGTCCCTACGTACGTACGTAAATACGCATCGGTCGATGTAGGCCGGCATCGACTAGAGGCGTTAAACTGGGCCACGGTGCGTCGGCCTCGGGGCTAGAAATATCGTCGGCGTACACACGGAGGAGAGCGCTCGAGAGCGATTAACCCTCGCACGGCTGAAATGCGCCTGGCGGGCACGAGCGTGTGACTTTATGACGAAGTGTCGAGGAGACTCGAGGCGATTTGTTTTTCACGCGCGACAGCTAGCTGATCGAATCGAATCAAATTTGCGATTAAGATAAAGGTACTAATGTCCGGACGTGTATTTAATTCTGAACATTCGGATTGTTTTGTTTCTTAATCCCTTAAATGGTATGACCGGAGAAGTTTCGCAGTAAAATATTAAATCTCTTTTGATTTACTTGAAACATTGTATATATTTTCTTAAGTCAAGCAAATACAAATTACATATATTTTATATTCTATTTTTTTCAAAATTTTTTAAAGAAACGAAAAATAATGAAAAGAAATATGCTTATTTAAAAAAAATTCACTCTGAGGAAAGTCATTTTAAATCACCGAGGAGGTTAAGTACGAATATTTAAACTTTCAACATATAAAATATATATGCACCTATTCTATTGAAAGTTTAGATATTTGTATTTAAAAACCAAAGCAATATCCAAGATCAAGTGTCCGGAAATTAATACTTTTACCTTAAGCTTTCGATCACCAACTTACTCAAATTCGCTCTCATTCTTTAATTTGCTTCCGTGCGATTGATCTTTGTATTTTTTCCAGAATGCGATTACTATCTTATTTTGAAACGAAATATGTTTTATGTTTCATTACTTTTTGTATAAACGCACATATGTTCATTGATCTTTACTCGTGAATGAGAATTGAAGTGGAAAAGAAAAAAAGTCTCTCTATTTCACTTTCGCAGCTGCGAACATCAAGTTACATGAAGTTTCATACTATTCAAAATCGCAAATACATTTGTTATATAAGAGTTAAAGGGTAAATGATCATAACAGAGTTACGTAAAGGTTTATTACGAAGTTATGCGAATTAAATAAAACACGTATGATTTATAAAATACATCAAAGCAACGGATTTACGTTGGAACTCGCGTGCGCATGGCAAACGAAGTATCGTTCATTGGTAATGCGAAAAGCATAAAAAATTTACGCTAATAACACAGAATACCTGATGCTTCGCGAAGGGTGGCTGCAGTGACACATCCGCAGTTCGCATAGCAAGATCCCAGAGTTTACGTACGTCGTATAAACAAATCTGTAAGTATAACACATCGTAACAGGAGACAACACCGAGAAAAATATAACGAAAGTAATATAAATTTCGCGATAACGTCCGGTTTTTGCTTTTTAATGCAATTCCTCTCGCGGGGACACGTTGGAGGAGATAATCGCAGCGTGTTTGCTCGATGAAAAATAATCACGACGATAAATTGAACGAAACACGCGAGTGTAATCTCGCCTGAAAATTTGTATTCTGCGCGAGATGCATCGCGCGCGTCGAGCTTGACGCTTAATCGTCCGGCACGCTTGAGATCCGTCATCCGTCATTCCGCTGAAACGTCGAAAAAGCATCGTGTTCCTTGCCTTGCAAACCGCGGACAGGCTGCGTTTCCGACATTGCTGAGAGATAGTTATCGCCGAAGACGGCAGAAGCGTCCCCGGAACGCGCAATGTGTTGGCCGTCTATCTCTCACCGGCTACAGACACATACGTGCACACGTAACCGGATTACGACGGCCAAGTTAAAAGTGGTCGGGCACAGCTGCCTCCGACTAGCTGCGACCGACGTTCGCTCCCCGTCTCTTCTTCCTTTTCCGCGTGTCACGACTTACAGGAAATCCGTCTCTTTAAATTATTGC